AAGTATATGATATAATAATATCAATCTACAGCTAGTGACCAAACTCAGCCAGGGGGGGTTACATTGAACAGACTTGAGGTGAGTGCCTTCATCATACCAGCTGGTATAGTGTGATGGTTAGAGGATTAGGTCAGGACTGAAGAGAAACGGATTCATATTCCAGTCAGCCCTGGAGTTCTCTAGGCAGAGTTGCCAACCTCCAGGTGAGGCCTGGAGATCTCCCAGAATCCCAAATGATCTCCAATCAGTTCCCAAGGAGAAGATGGTTGCTCCAGAGGGTGGACTACTTTATGACTTTGTGGCATTATACTCTGCTGGGGTCCTTCTCCTTCCCAAACACCACGCTCCCCAAGTACCACCCCCAAAACTCCAGGAATTTCCCAGCTTAGAGTTGGCAACCTTATCTCCAGGTAATAATTCTAATTATCATATGGCAGTGTGTGTTGTATAGGCAGGAGATCCGAGGACTGTCTGCCGCCCGAAGTTCTAACTCTTTAGCGTTATGCACCACTAAAGTGGCGAGCTAGACTTGTTGGTGGGCTGAGAGAGCTCCGAGAGAGCTTGTGACTGACCCAAGGTCACCCAGCTGGCTTCACGTGGAGGAGTGGGGAATCAAACCTGGTTCTCCAGATTAGAGTGCTGCCGCTCTTAACCACTACGCCCAAGCTGGCTCTCCCTATTTCCAGGTGATCTTGGGAAAGGTGATCTCTTCCCCAATCTACTTCACAGATTTCAACAGATGCTGATGAGATGAAATGTGAAATACTGCATATTAATTAAAGTAATGATCTAAGTACTCTGTGCAATAATTATATAATAGATGTGGCACATTTCTGTTATACTGTCTTTTTAAGAGTTTAAAATTAACTTTTATGGTGTATGGCCTATAGGCTTTTAAACCCAATGAACTGAACTGAATTGAATGTAATAATCTTTGGCCAAGGGAGAGTTTACACAAAAGAGAGGATAAAGGTAAAGGTTCCCTTGCTTGAAAGCCAGTCGAATCCGACTCTAGGGTTGTGGTGCTCATCTCCATTTCAAAGCCGAAGAGCCAGCGCTGTCCGAAGACGTTTCCGTGGTCATGTGGCCGGCATGACTAAACACCAAGGCGCACGGAATGCTGTTCCCACCGAAGCGGTACCTACCGGTATTTATCTACTTGCAATTTCTTGCTTTCGAACCGCTAGGTTGGCAGGAGCTGGAACTAGAGATGGGAGCTCACTCCGTCATGCGGCACCTGGGTCTCGAACTGCTGAACTACTGACCTTCCACAGCCTGCAGTTCAGCGTCTTAACCACTTGAGCCACCGCAGCTCCAGCTCAAGGAGAGGATATCCAACAAGAAATTAATAGGGGCAACATGGAAAAGATGCAGTAAGGAAAATCAATGGGATAAGAAGATGCATCTTAAAAGAAAAGAGCCCAGAAGGTAAGAGAAATGGAAGCACCTCAGATTGGCACCAAAATTGCACTGTAATTAAAAAAAAAAACCCTAGCTAAATAAGAAGCAGGGAAGAATTAAAACACTGGGGTCCTTACCGAATACTTGGCTGTGGTCACACACACTAAATAATCCACTTTCAGTGCACTTTCCAACTGGATTTTACTGTGGGAACTGGCAAAAATCCAGCTGGAAAGTGCTTTGGAAATGGATCGAAAGTGGATTATTTAGCGTTGTGTGACTGCAGCCGTTGAGAAACAGACTCACTGGAGAAAGAGTGGGCTGCCTCAAAACATCCACTTAAAATACGAAACAAGACCTGGCTCAATTCATAAACAAACTTACACATTCCGTTGGAAAAGAAACAATCATACCTTCAAACGACAGAGCTGTGGTCGAAAGAACTACTACAAGAAGAAACGACGTCAAAACGTTATACCAGCACCAGCCTTGGAGGAGGTGGACTGAGAATTTTAAAAATGAACAAGAATGAAAATAGAAAACAGAATTTGGGAAGTTGAGACGATCGCCTCTCAGCGCAGGCCAAAGGAGGGGGACCTGCGGCAGAATTTCCTACAACAAAATATATCAACAGAGGTACATTAAAGTGATCTCTAAGCTTGGGGGGAAATGTGGAGGTCCTCAGAGCTAAAAACTAGGATTAAATTCTCATAAAACTGTGGCGGGACGCCTTTCTCAGCTCCCTGACTTCAATTCTTTTATTTATTTCATTCATACCTGGCCTCTCCCCCCAACAGGAACCGAAAACAACTGAGCCTCCGAACAACCTTGTGAGGTAGCTTGGGCTGAGAGCAATGCTCCCTCTAAGCTGTGGAGTCCTGTGAGCAAAAATTCTACTTTTTGCTAAAAAACTCCTGGCATTGAAGTTGTGAGCGAGCGATTTGGCTGCTGCATAAATTAGTTTGCTCTGGAGCCAATCTTCCTGAGCTAAGACAAAAATGTGTGAGCCGGAGGCTAAATAAACTGTGAACGAGCTCACACTAACTCAGCTTAGAGGGAACACCGGCTGAGCGTAGGTGACTGGCCCAAGGCTACCCACACCAAGCGCCCATCCCAGGGCAGGGTTTCAAATCTGGGTCTCTTAGATCCTATTCCGACACCTGAAGCACTGCACCACATGGGCCGGCATTGGATTTAAGAAGGTATGATTCAGCTAGTGGGTGCTACGGATGATGACCACTGCCCCACCCAATACCGGGAAGACCAGAACTACTCCTGGCTGATCTAGAAGAGGATGAAAAGTGATAGAAAAGAGCAAGAGTCCAGGGGCACCTTAAAGACTAACAAAATCAGTGGCCGGGCGTGAGCTTTCATGAGCCTGAAGTATCTGAAGAAGTGAGCAGTGACTCGTAAAAGCTCACACCCTGCCAAATGCTGTGAGTCTTCAAGGCGCTCCTGAACGCTTGCTCTTTTTGACTGCTACAGACGGACTAACACGGCTACCCATCTTGACACTGACGCAGAGAGGAGTACTCCACCTCTGAGGATGCCAGTCACAGCTGCCGGCGAAACGCCAGGTACTACAATGCCAAGACCACGGCCGTACAGCCCAGGAAATCCACAACAACTATGCATCTTGGATCTCTCTCCGTGAAAAGGGATATTCCCGTAAAGAGGCTCGTGGAGTCAGCTTGTATACAAACACCTATCAATCACATTCAGGGAGAATTTCCAATTGGTCTCTGAATGCCCCTCGCCACTCGTGAGACCAAACCTGAACCTATAGTGGGGTGACCAGAAGCAAAGGATAAAAGGCAGAGGGGAGAAAAGAGGTTCTCTCTTCTGTACGGGTAAAGGTAAAGGTTCCCTTGCTCGAAAGCCAGTCGAGTCCGACTCTAGGGTTGCGGTGCTCATCTCCATTTCAAAGCCGAAGAGCCAGCGCTGTCCGAAGACGTTTCCGTGGTCATGTGGCTGGCATGACTAAACAACAAGGCGCACGGAACGCTGTTACCTTCACACCGAAGTGGTACCTATTTATCTACTTGCAATTTCTTGCTTTCGAACTGCTAGGTTGGCAGGAGCTGGAACTAGAGACGGGAGCTCACTCCGGCATGCGGCACACTCGGGTCTCGAACTGCTGAACTACCGACCTTCCACAGCCTGCAGTTCAGCGTCTTAACCGCTTGAGCCACCGCAGCTCCTTTCTGTACGGGTGCAGGGACCTTATTTTAATTTCCATTCGGTCGCTGCGCTACAGACTCCCAAGTTTTCTACAACGAACCGCAAATGAAAATTAGCCCAGCGTTTCCTTATAAATGCCCCCTTTAAAAAAAAAAGTCATTCCTGACTGACTCAGCTGATGTCTTCCATCAATAATTTGGGACTTGGCACTACATAATTTTTTGGAACCGGCGAGCCTGATCTTCTGAGATCTTTGCAGCTAAGCTGGATTAGCTGGAACGGGACAGTCACAGAAGAGGATTCGGTCTCATAAAGCCCCCTTCCTGCAGGCTGACAGGGTTCAGACCAGACATAGGTAAACATGATGTATAGACATGCTGTATAGACCCTCCATGTTGAGTTTTTGATTTTTCGCTACTCCAAGAAAGATACCAGAAAGAGTTTTGTCGGTGGCTGGCAGACTGATCAGGCCCTATAGAGCCAGGACATTCAACTGACAGCCAGCAGAGGCGGGACGAATATGTCCTACACAACCAGCAGCTGGGGTCAAGCAGAAAGCCAACCAAGTGAAAGCTCTAGATTCTTTCCTGCTGTGGTAAAAACCTGGAATGCCGCTATTTCCTTCACCTCCCATTGACTTCTCTGGAAAGGAAGATGGGGAAAGGGTTCTAGACGAGGGGTCCCCAACCTTTTCAAGCCCGCGGGTACCTTTGGAATTCTGACACGGGAGGGGGATAATTTTTTTAAAAAATGGGAAAGAGGAGAGAGAGAGAAGAAAACTAACACTGTTGGGTCAGACGCTGCTGAAACGATGTACTAACACTGTTGGGTCAGACGCTGCTGAATATGACGCCATTTTAATCTGCTTGCCGATCGCATCTCCAGTGGCCAGTCAGAAGTCCTGCTGGGCAAATGCCCAACCTGGCCAAACCTACTCTCTTAAAAATGATTGTGGGGCCACAGGAAAGGGATTGGTGAGAACCATGGTGTCCCCGGGCCCCACATTGGGAACCCCTGTTCTAGAACACCCCCCGGCTCAGCGATACGACTGGGGCCCCCACTAACTAGGCCTGTCTCAATATATGTGACTGTGGCGTGAGATCCGGCTTTCCCCCTTTAAAACTAAGAGGGATCTTCCAGCTTTTTGAGCCGACAGACAGATATTTCAAAGCCCAATTGCACACCCACTCTGTGGCTCTCTTAGACTGAAAGCACCCATCGCAGAGAAAAATAAATGGATTCTGAAACAGCACTGCTGTGCCTATTCGAAAAGCCCTACACGGAGCGTCCCCCCATCTCCCCCCCCCAAAGAAACAGAACATCTTTTAAATTAGACACCACTTTTTCTTTAGCTTTTCCTTACTGCTCGTGCACAGCCCGTCGAACAGCCACCCACACTACAAATACAAACTCGGCTTCGCTGAATCCCAACCCCCTTTGTGAAGAACCCCTGCGGGTTCAATCCGACCGACTGGCCGCCGCCACGTCTTCTAGGGTGAATTAGGGAAGGGTCTGTTAAAGGAAGAGACGGGCCACTCCTTGGTAACTGTCTGAAGCTTCCGCTCCCAGTACATTTTTTTTTTGTTCAGCACTTCCATCTTGATCCGGTGCTCCTCCTCCGCCATCTCGCACTCCCGCTCGATCTGCTGGATCTTGGCCACGTGCACCTCGTTCATCTGGATCAGCTGCAGTTGCAGGATGGACATCTGCTGGTGGTGCTCCTCCTCGTGCATCTTCTTCAGGTCGCTCTCCTGGGCGGCCTTGCTGCGGAAGTTCTTATTGCCCGTGAGTCTGACGGCCGAGCAAGAGGGCTCGGACTGCGAGGTGCCTTCACATACCTGGTAATGGACGAGCTCTTTCTCCTCATCGCACAGTTCCCTGTTTATGACGGTGAAAGGTTCTGGGGGAAAGGCAAAGAGAGGATCACATGAAACCACCGCCCATGTATCTCCCCTCCCCCCGAATGCAAGTGGAGCAACGGGTAAAATGCACAGTAAACAGGCTAGAATGGCGCTGACCTGGATGGTACAGGCTAGTCCAGGGGTGTCGAACTCATTTGTTATGAGGGCCGGATCTGACATAAATGAGACCTTGTCAGACCGGGCCATGTGTGTCATAACATGTCATGCCAGGTAGCAGAGATATAAACGTTATAAAGGACACAAACACAAAGGGTTTTTTAAAAACCTTAAAATAAAAACATGCTTAAAACATTAGCACTCTTGCAATATTTTGTTTATCTGACAGTGTCTGATAACTGACACCTCTTGCTCTGAATTATTGCATCAAAATGTCTGGGCCGTTGCAATATTGAGTATGTTGTTCAGGTGTGTATCTGCACACCTACGATGACGCAGCAGAGGCAGCAGCAGCAGAACTGGAAGAAGAAGTAGAAGACAGCCAGTTCCACTGCAGGCCTGATAGAAGCTCTCTCCGGGGGCTGAATCCGGCCCTCGGGCCGCATGTTTGACACTCCTAGGCTAGCCTGTTCCCATCAGATCTCGGAAGCTAAGCAGGGTTTGCTGTGGTTAGTATTTGGGTTGGGAGACCACCAAAGAAGTCCAGGGTTGCTACGCAGAGGCAGGCAACGGCACACCACCTCTACTCATCTCTTGCCCTGACCTGGATGTCTCAAGCTAGCCCAATCTCATCCGATCACAGAACCTAAGCAGCATTGGCCCTGGTTAGTACTTGGATGGGAGACCACTGAGGAAGTCCAGGGTTGCTACGCAGAGGCAGACAACAGCACACCACCTCTACTCATCTCTTGCCCTGACCTGGATGGCCCAGGCTCGCCCAATCTCATCCGATCACAGAAGCCAAGCAGCATTGGCCCTGGTTGGTACTTGGATGGGAGACCACTGAGGAAGTCCAGGGTTGCTACGCAGAGGCAGACAACGGCACACCACCTCTACTCATCTCTTGCCCTGACCTGGATGGCCCAGGCTCGCCCAATCTCATCCGATCACAGAAGCCAAGCAGCGTTGGCCCTGGTTGGTACTTGGATGGGAGACCACTGAGGAAGTCCAGGGTTGCTACGCAGAGGCAGACAACGGCACACCACCTCTACTCATCTCTTGCCCTGACCTGGATGGCCCAGGCTCGCCCAATCTCACCAGATCACAGAAGCTAAGCAGGGTTGGCCCTGGTTAGTACCTGGATACGAGACCACTAAGGAAGTACAGGGTCGCTATGCAGAGGCAGGCAAAGCGCCTCCGAACATCTCTTGCCTTGAAAACCCTACAGGGTCGCTGTATGTCAGCTGCTACTTGATGGCACTTCCCACCACCACCAAACAGACTAGGTTCAAATGCTCACCCAGGGCCAAACCTGACATTTGTTGGGAATTGGCTGATTTTTTTTTTACGGCTCAGTTCCCATGTACTTGAGAACATGTCTGGTTTTGCTCCTGAGCCATAAATTGACTGTGTGGACACAAGGGAAGTCAGTATCTTTCTCTCTCAGCCTTATTGGGAAGCTGTTTTGAATATAAATCAGACCGTATGCCAACGAAGGTAACTGAAACTGATAAAACAAGATAATGCCACTGTTAGATACGAGACTCGAGGCAGCAGGTGAACAGTGATAACAGCTTTATTTAACACGAAGTCAGAAGAACCAGAACGAGACAAGCAACGGAGCAACAGGCTCCTTTTGAAACAGTCCGGGTTTGGCAAGCCACGCCCACATGTCAGAAAAGATCCAATCAAATGCAGTACATAACTACTGTAACGCTCTCTACTTAGGGCTGCCTCTGTCGCAAATCCGGAAGCTGCAGCTAGTGGAGAATGCTGCGGCCAGGCTGTTGTTGGGCCTCTCTAGGCGAGACCATATTTGGCCTGGGCTGCAAGCGCTGCACTGGCTGCCAATAGCATACCGGATTTGCTTCAAAGTGGTGGTTCTTACCTTTAAAGCCCTGAATGGCCAGGGTCCGGCTTACCTGAAGGACCGTCTCTTCCTGTATGTTCCCCCAAGAGCACTACGATCGGGGAACCTCCATCTCCTGGAAGTTCCAGGTCCCCGAGAGATTAGAGATTAAGTTTGCCCCTACTAGGGCCAGGGCTTTTTCGGTGGCGGCTCCTACCTGGTGGAACAAGCTCCCAGAGGAGATCCGGGCCCTGCGGGACCTTATGCAGTTCCGCAGGGCCTGCAAGACGCTCTTCTTCCGCCAGGCGTTCGAGTAGGAGCCGCCGCTGCCACTATCCTACCACCGAGGTAGTGTGTCATCGGCTGCCCTACTAAAGGGGGGCAGGCCTGGCCTGGCAGAACAGCGTAGCGGGAGACCGCGCTACTGAGATAGCTGGCCGCCAAATTTGGGTGGCTGTTCCCATCTTGGAAGATTTATATAGGTTCAGCATATATAGGATGATTTTTACTGTTGTTTTAAATATTGTATTGTACTATATGTTTTATTGTAATTTATACCTCGGCTTTGCCGCATGTGAGCCGCCCTGAGCCTTTGGGAGGGCGGGATATAAATCAAATAACTAAATAAAGAACAATCACTTTGCTTTCCTCCAGAACGTCCCTTGTTCTGATAGGTCGGTTTACAATACCTTGGTCAGACTCAAGCTCATACATTCTATTCCATACACAACAGCCACTGATGCCATTGCGACGTCCTTGTAAGAAGGTTGGTACAGACATTAGATTCAGTACGGTGGATAATACTCCATCTTACCACTCTGCTGAGAAAAGCTTATTCCTAAGTGCTGTCAAGTCACGGCCAATTTATGGCGACCCCCCAAAGCGTTTTCAAGGCAAGTGATTTAGCAGAGGTGGTTGGCCATTGCCTTCCTCTGCAAAGTCTTCCTTGGTAGTCTTCCATCCAAGTATCGACCGTGCTTAGCTTCTGAGATCTGATGAGATCAGGCTATGCTGTACCATTCCGCATCCCCAAAGCTTGCTTACTTATTAAAATATTTAAATCTCACCTTTCCCTTTCTGCTCGTGTTTGACATTTTCCTCCAGTTGAAGGATACTTTGTCCAACTTAAGTAGTTCTTCCATTAGAGGAAGAGACACTTCAGCTGGAGGAAGGGTACTCGGAGGACGCCTGGATCCACCCCAGGGACTACTGTACCACCTAAAACCCCAAGCCACATCACGCCGTTTGTTACAGCCAATCAAAGCAACACAATACGGTGTGCAAATTTCTGAGTTCTTTTTGAACTGAAGAAAAGTTGAGAGCTCAAAAGCACACACAGCAGTCGGTGTCATTTTGGTTGGTCTTATTCAAAGGTATCACCAGGCTCGAGTTTTCGAATTTTTCTTTGGACCAATACATGCTACAACCTGGAACCTCCATCTACATATATCACACACCACATAAACACACCACTAGATGGCGATATTGCCATTGCCAGGAAAGTAGGCTAAACATGACCTCATCAGATCTCAGAAGCTAAGCCAAACCGCGTCCTCCCTTCTTAGTACTTGGATGGGAGACCACCACAGCAGTCCAGGGTTGCTACGCAGAGGCAGGCAATGACAGATCACCTGTGTTTGTTTCTTGCATTGACCTGGACAGCCCAGACTAGCCCAATCTCCTCAGATTAAAGAAGCTAAGCAGGGTGGGCTCTGGTTAGTACTTGGAGGGGAGACCACCAAGGAAGTCCAAAGGGTCGCTATGCAGAGGCAGGCAGTGACAAACCGCCTCTGAACATCTCTTGCTTTGAAAAACCTTCAGGGTTGCCTGGTTACTACTTGGATGGGATTCGAACCCTGGTATTGTTCCAGTTTTAGTATATGTGCTGTCGAAGCGAGCACGTCGAACCTTGGACTCCCATGTCCTAATCCAGCACTCTAGCCACTAGACCACACTGGTACTCTATATGCACACATGCATTAAAAAATGTATATCCTATGCACACACTTAGAAGATACTGTAATAAGCTTAGAAGATACCATAATAAACTATCTTCAGAGACTATAACAACAAAACCAGCATCTTCTCTTTCTTTCCTTCTCCCCCCCCCTCTTTTTTTAAGGTCGCCTTTCTCTTTTATTTTTGCTTCCAGCAAAGGGGGGGGGCCAATTCCTGTTAACCATATAACTACATGTTTGGTGTAGTGGTTAAGAGCAGCGGACTCTAATCTGGAGAACTGGGTTTGATTCCTCACGCCTCCACGTGCAGGCAGCTGGGTGACCTTGGGCCAGCCACAGTTCTTTCAGAGCTGTTCTGTCAAGAGCAGTTTCTGTCAGAGCTCTCTCAGCCCCACCTACCTCACTGGGTGTCTGTTGTGGGGAGGGGAAGGGAAAAGGAGACCGTAAACCACTCTGAGACTCCTTCGGGTAGTGAAGGGCAGGGTATAAATCCAATCTCCTCCTCCTCCTCTTCTTCATGAGTCACCTGACACCAGGCACAAGACCGTTTTTGACCATTATCTTGTCTGAACAAAGCTAAGCAAGACAACTCCCTTGTGAGGCCACTGAAATCAGTGGTCTTAGAAGAACATAATTCTGCTTCGAAGGGCACCCTAAACTTCCTAGCCCTGACAACTCTGAAACCAGCTTCAGGGAAAGGGGAATGGATGAACGGACTTACAAGTGATTTCATTCAGCTTCTGGAATGCAAACGCCACGAGTGCAGTTTGTCTGAGTGCAGGACAGAGCCGTACCTTGACTAGAAGTCTCCGGCTGGTATTCCGAATCCTCCTCCGGCGGACTCTGCAAAAAGTACACTTGCTCCGGCACCATGCCAGTGATCTTCTCCTTCCCGAGGACGTGATTACTGATCAGCGGGCTTATACTCCGTTTGACCTTATCCCGCCTGTCATGGGACATTATTTTCTTGGTCCGTGCCTTGATGTTCTCCCAGCATTTCTTCAGCTGCTTGAAGTCGCGGAGGGAAACGCTGGGTTGAGAATTATATTCGTGCGCCAGGGCCTGCCAGGTCCGTTGCTTCAGGGCAATTGTCCGGGCGTCGCTTTTCTTGCACTCCAGGACATATTTGTATTTCTCAACCAGCGCAAGCAGCACACTCTTCTCCACTTCGGAGAAGTATTTGGCCGGCTTGATGACTTCGCTGTTTTGCATTTTCCGTTGCTTCTCCAGGGTGCCAGAAGAACCTAGGAAAACAAGGGGAGGACTCTTAGATCTGAAAACGACAGCGACAACCAGTGCTCCCTCTAAGCTGAGTCAGTGTGAGCCGGCTCACCAGCTTTTTAGCCTCCGGCTCACACATTTTTGTCTCAGCTCAGGGAGGATGGCTTCAGGGCAAGCTAATTTATGCCGCAGCCAAATGGCTGGCTCCCAACTTTCATGCCGGTAGCTCACAAAGTAGAATTTTTGCTCACAAGACTCCACACCTTAGAGGGAAGATTGGCGACAACAGTGAATTCTTCCTCAAGCGTCTCGTGTTTTGTTCGTACTGAACACGTGAAGCTTGCCTTACACTGAACCAGACCACAGGGTTGCCACCCTCCAGGTGGTGGCTGGAGATCTCCAGGGATTGCAACTGGCCTCCAGGCAACAGAGATCAGTCCACTTGGAGAAAATGGGCCGCTTTGGAAGGTGGCATGATTCCTCTCTCCAAACCCTGCCCTCCTCAGGCCCCGCCTCCAAAATCTCCAGGTACTTCCCAACTCAGAACTGGCAACTCTCGTCCATCACACTCAGGCTAGCAGCTCTCCAGGGTCTTTCACATCACCTCCTGCCTGGCCCTTTTAACTGGAGATGCCAGGGATTGAACCTGGGACCTTCTGCATGCTAAGCAGACACTCTACCACTGAGCTACAGGCCCGCTTCGTGGCCCTCCAGGGTCCCAGGTGGAGGTCATTCCCATCACCTATTGCCTGGCCCTTTTAACTGGAGATGCCAGGGATTGAACCTGGGACCTTCTGCATGCTAAGCAGACACTCTACCACTGAGCTACAGGCCCGCTTCGTGGCCCTCCAGGGTCCCAGGTGGAGGTCATTCCCATCACCTATTGCCTGGCCCTTTTAACTGGAGATGCCAGGGATTGAACCTGGGACCTTCTGCATGCTAAGCAGACACTCTACCACTGAGCTACAGGCCCGCTTCGTGGCCCTCCAGGGTCCCAGGTGGAGGTCATTCCCATCACCTATTGCCTGGCCCTTTTAACTGGAGATGCCGGGGATTGAACCTGGGACCGTCTGCATGCCAAGCAGACACTCTACCACTGAGCTACAGGCCCGCTTCGTGGCCCTCCAGGGTCCCAGGTGGAGGTCATTCCCATCACCTATTGCCTGGCCCTTTTAACTGGAGTTGCCGGGGATTGAACCTGGGACCTTCTGCATGCAAGCCAGACACTCTGCCACTGAGCTACAACCCCACTTCATGGCTCTCCAGGGCCTCAGGCAGAGGTTTTTCCCATCACCTGCTGCCTGGTCCTTTTAACTGGAGATGCCAGGGATTGAACCGGGGACCTTTTGCATGCCAGGCAGCTGCTCTAACCACTGAGTCACAGTCCCTCCCTCAATTGGAGGCAAAGCACCAGATTAAGCCTTATATCTTTATGTGAAGACACAAAACTGCTGTTGTTTTGCATAACATTCCCAAAACATCAGTGGCCACGATCGTTCGGCCAGGGCCGCATCTGGGTGTCATTTGCAAATCTGCCTTACCCACACTGGGAAATCCAGTTGTGCGTTAACTGCTACAAGGCAACAATCTCACAACACCCAGGCACATGTGGATGCAGCCCTGCTAATCCTGGTACTAAGTTCAGAGCAGCTGAATATTAATCCACGTGGCATAAAACTGATTTATGGCCCCGGTCACACGGGCTAGATATCGCGGGGGGGTGTGGGGAGGCGTGGCTGTTTGCCCCGGGGCTAAATAACGCACGGTTGCGCGATCAGACCTCCCGTGGAGGTTCAGTGGAGGTCCCGTGGGTAGGGGGAGGTGCCAATCATAGGACAATCCTGCCGTGCGGCAAAGAAGCGGCACGGTGCGGCAAACGGGTTTGGGGTATTTTTGTACACCAAAGTATGCGCATGCTCCGTTAGTTGCTTCTGCGCATCCATGGAGACTTGGAAAATACCCACCCTTTTTGCAAGGGGACATGGGCGGGCGCCGGATGCCACCGGAAACGCGATCAGACGCCTGCCCTTGCCCCGCGGTTACCGGAAACTAGTACCTCGGAGGTACTAGTTTTTTACCCCGCATCTTCGGCAGGAAGCCTCGGATGAGCCACGGAAGCGCTACGCTTCCCAGATGTGGCGGTGAGATCGCGCCCGGAAAATCCGCCTATCTTCCGTCTCTCTAGCGTGGCTAATGTTCCGTGTGACCGCAGCCTATGTTAACTTATTGTCAGATGTGGTCAGGGCCACTAGCTGTTATTTTTTTTTAAAGGCCCTCTAACGCACACATGTATGATATAACTTAGCTTTTCTTTAGTCACAAGAAGAGCTAAATCAAGCCTCCTAGCTCAGAGATAGTATACCTCAATATATCGGGAATAACGACAAGGCAATACTATCTTTGTGCAAGTTTCCCAAGGGCATTTGGACGGTGTGGTGTCGTGGTTAAGAGGGGCAGACTCTGACCTGGAGAGCTGGGTTTGATTCCTCCTCCACACGAAGCCTGCTGGGTGACCTTGGGCCAGTCACAGTTCTCTCAGAACTTGCTCCGCACCTCACCTACTTCACAAAGTGCTTGTTGCGGGGAGTGGAAGGGAAGGTGAGTGTAAGCTGCTCTGAGACGTGTGAGGCCTGCTGGGCGATGCTGGGCCAGTCCCAGTTCTCTCAGAACTCTCTCAGCTCCACCTACCTCACAAGGTGCTTGTTGTGGGGAGAGGAAGGGAAAGCAATTGGACGCTGCTTTGGGAAATGTGAGGCCTGCTGGGTGACCTTGGGCCAGTCACAGTTCTTTCAGAACTTGCTCCGCCTCACCTACTTCACAAAGTGCTTGTTCTGGGGAGTGGAAGGGAAGGCGAGTGTAAGCTGCTCTGAGACGTGTGAGGCCTGCTGGGCGAGCCTGGGCCAGTCCCAGTTCCCTCAGAACTCTCTCAGCACCTACCTCACAAGGTGCTTGTGGTGGGGAGAGGAAGGCAAGGCAATTGGACGCTGCTTTGGGAAATGTGAGGCCTGCTGGGCGACGCTGGGCCTCTCAGAACTCTCTCAGCCCCGTCTACCTCACAAGGTGCCTGCTGTGGGGAGAGGAAGGGAAGCTGACTGTAAGCCACTTTGAGACACCTTAAGGCAGGGAAAAGCAGGGTATGAAAACCGACTCTTCATCTTCTTCCAGCATGGGAAATGGAGTCTGTCCATGTGGTGTAAGAACATTCAATGCCACATGGGGCACCACCATGGAGAGAAAAAGGCTTTTGGGCAGTTTTGCGCTAGACAGCTCTTCTCCAATTCAGACTGACTAGCAAGCCTGGGAGGTGTCTTGTCTATCCCTCTGCAAGATACAAAACCCCGAATAATGGGATTTAGGTGGGTCGCCGTGTTGGTCTGAAGCAACAGAACGAAGTTTGAGTCCAGTGGGGCACCTTTAAGACCGACAAAGTTTAATTCTGGGCATAAGCTTTCGTGGACAGGCACACGTCTTCAGATACAGTGAAAGTGACCTATATGTAAGGCTTGAGGAAGTCTGTGTCACTGTATCTGAAGAAGCAGGCACGTGCACAAAAGCTTATACCCGGAATTAAACTTTGCTGGTCTTAAAGGTGCCCCTGGACTCAAGCGGTGTTCTTCTGAATAATGGGAGTGAGGCCTCCTCCAGACCCCATGTAGAAACACAGACCACCAGAGGAGGGCCGGAACCCTGCAGATCTGTTTTGCTAGGGGAGCTGCATTCCACCGGCAGGAGGAGACTGCTCCGATCCAAGATGTCCAAAGAGTGTTCAGGGTCAGGGGAAGGCCCCTTCCGTGGAAGGAAGGCGCCTCTACTGGTGAAACGGATTCAATCTGGAGTTGAAAACAAAGTGAGTTGGATTCAGAGCAGTGTTTCCCACCTGAGGGTCAGGACCTCAAAAGTGGGTCAGGAAGCCTCTTGAAGTAGGTTGCCGGCTAGCCTTTCCATTGCGCTCACTTGTATCTTGGAAACCAAGATCTGACCCTGGAAATGGTATCTTCCATGCCATACATTGGTCCCGATCACACGCGGAATTAGCTGCGCAACAGGCACGACTGCTGGGTGGATTTTAAGAGCGCAATCACACGGGAACATCTGGCAGGCGTCCCACACCGGCGGCAACCCCGTCTCGCTCCGCCGAAGAAGCGGAGTTAAAAAATTCGGGCAGTATCAAACGGGTTTGCGACGGGCCGCAGACGGACTTCCTCGTGTGATCGCTCCAGCGCGCTCCCATTGCTTCAGTGATCCCTCATTGAAGCGCACCGGAAACACGCAGCAAAGAAAAAAAACCCTGATTCACCCACCGTTGCATCTGATCACGCAGTGGCAGGTCAAATCACTAAGGAGTGAATAGCCTCCCCTGCCCCCCGCGTTATCCGGCACGGGTGACTGCACTCATTCGCTGGTATTGCTTCTTCATTGCGTATACAAGTTGATCAAATGAAATGTGTCCTGTTGGTTACTAGAGTGAGTTTCTTAAGACTCTTACGGGGGGATTAGAGGGAGTAATGGAAAAGGAGAGGGTGGAGAAAGGCTGGACTGTAAGCTCCACATGCAAAGGTTGCGTATGCCAGAATGCCACTTGCTTGGGGTTCATACTGGAGGGCAGATGCGCCCCTTGGGCGATGTCTGTTGCATTCTCAAAACCGTCTGGTTAGCCACTGTATAAAATGCACTGCTGAAC